ATGGAATAATGCCTTTTTATTTGATTGTTTTTTTAAGCATGCACTGCTGCTTTTTACGTATATTCAATATATATTTTTTTTTATAAAATAAACCAGATGTACGCCTTAATTTTTATGTATAAAAAAATTAATTTCAATAAAATTGATATGCATAGTTAGAATCTACTGATATTTAATTGATAAATTATATTCATTTTTCAAATCTAAATGGAATTGTACACTTCATATGCATATATTATTAATAACAAATAATTTATAACTTTAAATGGAATATTTTTTGTTATAATTTTGTAAATCATCTTACAATATCATATAGTAGAGATCTGTAAAATTCGGCCGGGTCTGGTCGGGCTTTGGAATTTTTTTTAAAAATATATCTAAATTTTTCAATTTTATGTTGAATTTTTTATGTAAAATAAAAATATTTGATTTTATTTATAGAAACTAAACGCCATTTAACATACATCTTTTATCTTGAGTAATTCGGGTCGGGCCGGCAAAAAATTTCGGGTCGAGCTGGTTTGAAAAATTAGACCCGATGCAGACCACTACCTATAAAAATAAATATGGGGTGATAAATAAAATATATCAACGATATTTATTTCTTTATTGACATTGGATTTTCGAATAATAATAAAAGAAAGAATAGCGAAAAATTAGAATTTTATTTATTGAACGAGAGATATTGAAATGTTCAATAGGAATTTAGATAGATCAGCTGATTGTCACAATATTTCCCCCTTGTTTTTAGACCTCATTCTAATCTCTCAATTTATAAATAATCTCTCAATTTATAAATTAAATATATTTTTATAATTTGAAATGATATTTTATAATTTTTATTATAAAATAAAATAAATATATTTAGAAGTTAAATTAACTGTATCGAAAAGTGACTTTTAGGCACATTCGACATAAATCGAGATATTTGGTTACTTTACTACATTTTTTAAAAAACTTTTGTACATGTTATTTAATTAATTTAAAATGATATTACTGAAATTTTTTATAGAATTTGAATTCGAACATGTCTGACAGGCCTCATACGGCATGGTCATGCATTGTCCTCTCCTGAAAAAAAATGCAAAGCATTACTATTACTTTTTATCGTTTAAATCCTCTTTTAGTGATGATATAGATTCATCTTTCCCGTTATTTGACCTATTTTCAGTTAATATCAGACAGAGACCTGCAGAAGTCCCATTTGTACGGCCCGGCCCGGCTTGGATTTTTTTTTCAAAAATTTTTTTCGGCCCGGCCCTATCCGGGGTTTTTTTTAATTTTCAGGCCCGACCCGGATTTTTTAAAATATATTTTTTTATATTTTTATAGCTAATAATGACGATTTCAAATATTTGGTTTTAAAATATACGGCCTGGCCCGGATATTTTTTTAAAAAAAAATTTCAGGCCCGGTTCATGTATATTTAAAATAATTAAAATACGTCTCGGCCCGTGTACCAGGTCTCTGGTTATTATGTTGAAAATAATATTTGATCGCAATCAGACAAATAGTTTTATAGAAGAAACATATATTATTTGATTTGCAAAAAAAATATCCAAGCTTTCAGCTAAACAGTTAACTTATAAGATGCTAATTAACACATTACACTGAATGTTTCCTTGCAATACAGATAGTTTTTTTTGGTAGTATTTCAAAAATAAGCATCTTCCTGGAATTAGTCTAAACTGATGCTCTATTAGACTAATTTTAACAATGCCACTACTTATTGATTTGTAATTAATTATTTATCTTTTTGTTATTTTGTTCGAATTGAAGTGTATATTCCTGTATGATATAATATATTATATTCTGAAATTATGGATGATTAACTAACTGAAACATAGAATTAATTTTATGTTCAAAAAATACTATACCAACCCTTAAGATCTTTTTAACATCTCGACAGGAATCTCCAGAGCCAGTCTGACCTTCGGCCAAACGAAGAAAATAAAATACCTTTCGGGTTTCGAGTTTATATATTTAAAATGACTTTGGCTAGGCCTGGATTAAAAATTATTTTATCAATTTAGTCGATATAGGTAAAATAATTTAAATACAATGGAAAGTTACTTCAAAAAATAATATCTTCAATTATAGACCTAGGTCTATATATTTAATAAGCTTGAGTCTAGCTGACCTATATTTTAACAATTCTAGAACCCCTATACTTATAGCTCCTTCCCCACTGATAGTAAATCATTTGAGAAAATTATTTAAACGATAATCGTTGTATAATATTAATTACTATACTATATCATCATTTATTCTCAAGTATTTTTGCTGTGAAAGATGACTTTTATATTATACAAATGCATCATATCATCTTATAAAGTTTAATATAAATTGTTATGTTTTACTTAAACCTTATGAATGATATTTATTTGATATGATATATTTATTTTTTATAAATTTGAGCATTATTATGTACTATATAAATTTTTCCTTTATATTGTACATTAATAAATAATATAGCTTATCAGGGGAATATTGTCTATGATTTATTATATTTGAATTAAACTCAAGTAGGAGTCATTTTCATTAATCTATAATAATACATTCCTTAATTATTGATTGTATGTAAATGTTAAAAAGTGAAAGAAAATAATAGAGAATAAAATGTATTTAATTACATTCGTGGTGCAACATAATTGCAGGCATTTGTACAAGAGGGAGCGGGCGGAAAAATTAGACCATTAAGTAGTGATCTGCCCGAAATTTTTTTTAATTTAGATATATTTTAAAAAATTTCTAAGACCCGATCCGGCCCGAATTTTTTAATATATATTAGGCGTATGTCGGGCCTACTTTTGCAGATCTCTACTATTTAGCTTTTAATTTCCTTCTTTATTTTACCAATTTGGATTTATTTTTTTTACTAATCATTTTGTGGATTTCCTACTAATTTCTATTTGGATTCTTTTTATCTTTCTAATTTGATTTTGATTTCCCTTAAGGCTTTAGTAAATTATAGTTTTTAAGGGGCCGCTGATTTCATTTTGTTTTATATAGCCAAAGGTTAGCACAGCCCTAACTCGGATAAAAATACTACCATGCAAAAAGACACCGGAAAAAGATATCGAATAAAAAGACATCGGACAAAAATACCCTCGGACATAAAAACAATTGACAAAAATTTTTTTATTAATTTATTCTACGGATCTAAGCATCTGTTAGATTTTACCAAATGTAGTGAGTTTGGTGTGTCTAATAAATAGTATTTTTTTCTCATCTAATATAAATACCAACCCTTATTTTTGTTGTACAGCCCTAAGCTAACCGCTAACGCGGTTCACAATCCTGGTATATCTGAACCACTTAATTTGGTGAAAACTAATTGATACTTATCGGCAGCTTTGACTGCTCACTAGCCCTGAATATTTGTTAGATTTTACCGAATGTAGTGGGTTGATAGCATTAAATATTTCTCATAATCTTTTTATGCTTAGATTAACCCTAGCTCACATAAGGTCTTGCCATGAACCGCATAGCAATACATTTAGACATATCTAAATATTTCCCTAATACTCCACATAGGTACTTAGATTTTTTATAAAAATTTGTGTAAAACTAATCATAATATTTTTTAGTGGAAGAAATTAATATTTTTTTAAACTTTCCCTTTTCTAAAAATTATTAAAATTTGGGTATTTTTGTCATGTGTCCTTTTATCCGGGTCTTTATGTCCAGGACACTTCTGACCGATTACCTAATTGAATGAAATGATTATTGTGTATGATAAATCATTTAAGTATAATTCGATTAATTATACTAACATTTATTGATTTTATTTTGAAGTTTCTCATTTTTTTAAAAATCAAAAATATAAAACAATATCGAGTGCCTTTTAATGAGCCCTTCAAATTTTTAATTAAACGATATTGTGCTCTTCAAAAATGATAATCAATATCATTTTTAATAAAAGGTGGATATTTGAACATCATAATTATTTTTTAAAACTCAGCATAATCCTTGCCCCCTCCCCTCAATTTATTCAGTAGATGTGCGACCATCTTTAAACCATTGTGCATTTGCTCCATTTTGATTTATTAAACTCTAGGCGTAATAATATAAATGGTGGAAAAAAATTATAATAGGGCATCAAATAGGTAAAATAAAAAATCGAGACTGATGATTTCGGTCGGTCCGTCTACATATTGCAACTTGCAAGTTAGATAATGCAAAAAAGAGCATTTAAAAAAATATCTACATAATTTCGGGAAAATGCTGAAAAATATGAGACCAGGGATGGTATGTAACGAGGGTTGGTATGATATTAGTCTTTTATTCTTGAATAATATAGATCTTTATAAATTGTAAATGATTATTTTAAGTTTAACTATTATAATTTAATGTATTTGAAATGGAAAACCTCAGCTTACGTGAATCGAGGTAATATATAAATTATGATTTGGAGTCACTTTATCACGCGACACTTTATCACGCGACACTTTATCATGCGACAATTTATCACGACGACACTTTATCACGACGACACTTTATCACGACGTACACTTTATCATGACGATACTTTATCACGACGACACTTTATCACTCAGTCATTTGATAACGCGACACTTTATCACGCGACATTTTATCATGATATACTTAAAACTTAATTTTATATATTTGAAAAAATTAAATTTTGATAATATCTCATTTTTTGACTTTTCCGTCTAAATTCCAATATTTAAAAAAATTTAAATTAATTTTTTATGTTAACGCGACACTTTATCATGATATACTTAAAACTTAATTTAATATATTTGAAAAAATAATTAAATTTTGATAATATCTCATTTTTTGACTTTTCCGTCTAAATTCCAATATTTAAAAAATTTAAATTAATTTTTTTTATTGAGAAAAACTCATATTTTAATTTACATAAATATAATTTTTTTTAACTTAATTATCATCTTATATAGGGAAACAGGAGACAAGCAATAATTTTCTATTTATACTTTTTATTAATAAGTAACTATAAATCAATATATCACGAGTAAAAAATATAAATTATTTATAATATATTTAATTGCACGAAATATGGGCAATAGCTTTTAAAAATATTAAAGAATCCGACAATCCGTAATTTGAAACACAAATCTGAATTCGTCTTTTTATATCTTCATATTTCTTTGATAAGTACGGTGTTGTTCCCATCACGACTTGAAGATATAGAGCTTTATGTTTCTGCATATCTTTTTGTATCCCATCTAAAAATTTCCATAGTGTTGGATGAGAACATTGGTATAGGGATTGAATTCCATAGTGTCACCCTTCAACACAATTTGTTGTTCGGGCGACACCTTCTAACGTGGAATTGTGTTTATTCCATAGTCTTAGGCGCTGCAAAGTTATTTCGTTGCCCTATAAATATATAAATTTATAATAAAAAGAATATTTTTTTACTGGGATTTCTACGTCCTCGGATATAGGTCTTCTCAAAGTAGGAAATTAGCTCAGATGAGCCATTCAATTCACCAAATATTTCTGCCAAAGTATCAAATGAGATTCCAACATCATCCTCTGGGACATATGCAAGAGCCGATAAACACCTACTATACAATCAAAAGTCGTCATTCGACTCATACATCTCTTTTAATCCCAAATCGTTTATTTTTCTATTAACGCTCTGTTTTAGATGAAAATAACATCCAAGGATATCTGCGAGTGGATACCCAGCTCTAAACGAATTTATCGGTGCCTGTTCGAAATTCACCAATATTTTCCTCGGATGCGCCTCTGGTAGTAATTGTTTCAGCTCCTATAATAAAATTTAAATTACATCTCTTAAAATATATAATATTATTACTTTTATCATCCTTGCATATGTATGCGCCGTTTTATTTGGTAATAAGCTATATATACCAACAGGAGTATATCATGATGAAAGTCAAAAAATGAGATATTATCAAAATTTAACTTTTCAAATATATAAAATTAAGTCTTAAGTATATCATGATGAAAGTAAAAAAATGAGATATTATCAAAATTTAACTTTTCAATTATAATAAATTAAGTTTTAAGTATATCATGATAAAATGTCGCGTGATAAAGTGTCGCGTTATCAAATGACTGAGTGATAAAGTGTCGTCGTGATAAAGCGTCGTCATGATAAAGTGTCGTCATGATAAAGTGTCGTCGTGATAAAGTGTCGTCGTGATAAAGTGTCGTCGTGATAAAGTGTCGTCGTGATAAAGTGTCGCATGATAAAGTGTCGCATGATAAAGTGTCGTGTGATAAAATGTCGCTAGGCGATAAATTATGCACCATTTGCTGAAAGGTTTTAATTGGCCTTAAATAAATTATGTTACGGCAAGGCCATAATTATACTTTTCTTAGTGGGCACTGCTATGGCAGAATATTTTGCATATTTCATTTATTTTTGGGCACGGGGGAGAAGGGAATTTTATGCGTATTTCATACGGATTCGACAGGAAATCGCTATTTCAATCACTTTTTGTCATTTTCAAAATGAAATTGGTGAATATGCAGATTAGAATATAATATTGGTAAATGACTAAATTAGAGAATATTAATCATAATTTATGAATTTATACGATATGCCTAATATTTTATACTATAATTCACTTATAAATGTATGAAAATGGTAAAAAACGCAAAATCTTCGATATTTCTTTGGAGTGACCAGATTATTTCCTGAGATGGCCCGGTTCCAGTCCCAAAATGTTCCCTCTTTAGTTACGGCTCTGGTTACCTGCAATTTGCATAATATATTAAAAATAACTCAAATGAATGTATATAATATAATTATTAAATTACTTTACAAAAACCTCCCCAGGGAATATGGGAAAAAGTTATTTATCAAATATATGGTCTTAAATTACAATTTATATATAAAGCAACGGTTTTAAAAATATAAAGTTCGATTCGCTCTTTTTAACGATTTGGTATAGATTAGAGGTTCAGAAAATTATAAAGGTTCATTCCAATATAACGGTTCGATCCGGGTCCCTGATTATATTTAAGCCTAGAATAATATATTTCAATTTTTTTTAAATTTATATTTAATATATTTAAAGATTAATTTAATTGGCATCTAATCTACTATGATTATTATCGATACATACACTGGATGCTTAATACGAAAGACTGATATCTGATAAGCTCCCATAAGATCAATATATCAAAGAAATATCAACCATTTCTCCTGTTATATCACTCTATAATTAACATATATTCATTTATACCAATCTTATGGTCGTTTCTCGTGATTCCTGAACTCCTTTCATATCCCATAACCCTCTCAACCGATAAAAGATTATCTGTGATTCCACACCATTCATCCATTTATAATATATATTTTATTAAATCTCATTGGAATTCACATCCCATAAATAATATATCCAAGTTATCCGATTTCAAATTCAATAACACTAAAAGCATTGAAGGGGAATTATATCTAATTTACCCGGCTTATATTTTATCTCCGCCCTTGGGGGTACCTCTTACCCCAAGGGAGGGCTACTATCAGGGCTTAATTTATTTTATCAAAAACGTGGTTTATACTTTTTTAACTTTTAATAACGAAAAATTGTCATCCTTAAATAAATCAAATACTTATATGCCGTATTATTCAACTGTGAAAACAATAATCGCCAATAAGCGAAATAAACGTGGAGTAAATGATCATAATAATACATTTCTAGAAGGACATCTACCTTCGAATCATTTGCCATATAATCTTATGCCTTTTAATTTCACCCGGTACTTGCTTTTATTAGGGAAGAGAAACTTGGACAACACATCTCTGGCCATAAAGGTATTGCTGCATCACTTACAAGATGAAGACAAATTGTTTAACGATTCCAAGGTCAGAAACGGGTTGTACCATCACTTAGAAAAATTATCGCTGGGTAAAGAAGTAAAAATAAAAAATACTCTAGTTTTTGCTCGTTACAATTTATTCGAAACCATATTGATTGGAACGGTAGCCACATTGCTCACGATATTAACAATCGTCGGTAATATAATGGTTTTAATTTCTTTTCGAATAGATTCTCAATTGCAAACCGTTAGCAACTACTTCTTAATGAGTTTGGCCGTCGCTGATATCACAATCGGTAAATAAAAAAGTTTTAAACTGTATTTCAATTATTCTTTTTTAATTGATTTATCATTTTCTTTTTTTAAATATTTTTTATTATCTCATATATTTATCAGGTATGGTGTCAATGCCACTCTACACCGTATTTGTTATCACCGGGTATTGGCCGTTTGGTCCCATCCTTTGTGATATATACTTAGCACTAGATTATCTTATGAGTAACGCCTCCGTGCTTAACCTATTGGCCATAAGTTTAGACCGGTACTTTTCGGTGACACGCCCATTAACTTATAGGGCTTCCAGAACTCCTAAAAAAGCCGGCATGATGATAGCTTTAGCATGGATAGTTTCCCTCTTAGTATGGCCCCCTTGGATCTTTGCGTACCCATACATAGAAGGTAAACGCACTGTCCCCAATCATGATTGTTACATTCAATTTATCAAATCTAATCCATACCTTACTACCGGAACCGCCATAGCGGCCTTTTACTTGCCAGTAACGGTGATGAGCATTTTATATTGGAGGGTTTGGCGTGAAACGCAAAATAGACAAAAGGATTTGTCCTACCTTCAAGCTGGTAAAAACGTGAGCAAAAAGTCTTCCTCTAGCGATGAAGGATCTTCCTCCCTACGTGGTACAAAGTCATATAAGATAGTCGATTCCCATCAACCACTCTCTAACGCCAATCTGTTGGAGGTCAAAAAAACTTATTCAGTCTCCTCAGGGCTAGATCACCGTAAAAAATTTATAGGTGAGAAACCACCATCTCTTATATGGAGGTCTAAAACTTGCGTTCAAAATTGTTGGTCCCGTTTCGCTAATTGTTTTTCTATCATAGACAAAGAAATTATCGATGGAAATGAGGATGACGAAGAAGAGAGTGAGCAACGGTCTGCATCTTTTAGGAATCGTCTAATAGATGAAAGATCTTCATCTGGAGTTTCATCCTCTAGAGCAAACTCCAAGCGCAAAATAATGATCGCTTTGCCCATCAAAGATGAAAAGATTAAACTTTCCATGGATTACAATTTAATTACGACGCCTAAAAGATTGTTAGATAATCAAGATACCACATTGAACCAATCGCTTCTTACATCCAAGGAAAGTGAGAATAGCTTTGTCGACGAGACCTATACCATTATCATAAGACTGCCAGATACCGCCAATGATAATGATACCGATAAAGCTAGTGATGTTAATAAAAGGAATTCATCACGAGCCTCCATAAAAATGATGCTTGCATCTGACCAACTCCTTGATGACTCTTTTTTGCAAAGAAGAGAATCGCACACATTTACAAATCACCATTATTACGATACAAATGTTGTAACAGGGCACCCCTCTCGTACAGGGAATCACATTTACTATAGAAGGTTAAACATGAATGATGATGATCAAGTTGAATCGACAAAAGTGACATCTGCGGGGAGAAAATTTTCCATATCCAATTCAACATCTTTTTACAAAATACCTCTATCAACTTCTAAAGATATGTTTAAGAAATCTCAAACAGACATCAATTCATTATATAGAGACGAGTACTCAGAACTAGAGCTAAATAAACATGACAAAGATGATGGTATTGCATCATCCATCCACTTAAAATTTCCACGAATAATGGACGAAAATCATATATCAAACGAATTAAAAGGGAAACTATCCTTATCTGTTACCAAAGATAATTTAATATTTAATGGCCCACGAACAAACATAGATCATTCCTACCACCGCAATTCTTTTGAAAATATATCTCCTTGGCAGCCTAATACTTGTACTCATTCAAATTATTCCAATGCATTTACATCTACATTAACGAGGAATCGCGGCATGTGCAGTATTGATTCATCTCAAACAACATTGCACTCTTTTCTGCAACAGGAAACAAAAATTCATGGTGAGGATAGATCAGATAAGTTCGTAACACAACCATCTTCAATATCTAATCTAATTGATATACTCAAATCCGAGAAATCTCAAATTATATCTAATGGTAGGAAATTGGATGCTGTTAACGAAATACATATCCCCTCATCTAAATATAACTCAGATCATAAATATGTCAGTAAAATTGACTCGTTAGATTCGACTTCACTTAAGAATGCTCACACAAATATGGCACATAAAGCTGTGCGCCAAGTTAAATCCAATATTAATGAAATAAGAACAACTCAGAAAAATGATTACGTAAATGCCCATACAAAAAAAATTAGCAAAAACAAGCAATTCTTCAGTTTTAATAAAATATTTCCATCAATATCAATTGCTATGCTATTCAAACAACGTTCCGATCATATTTCGTTGAACAGTTACCAGTTCAAAAAGGGTAAACAACGCAAAATAGTCAGTAGTAGTAGCAAAGGAACCAAAAACAATATCACCACTTTGTTGCCCGTAAGGCGACAAATTTCCGTCATGGACCACAATGAAGAATTTAGAACCCCTCAATTTTTTATCAAATCCCAATCATTGGACAAGCCCAAAAGTCCTAAAGCCATGACTTCTTCTTTAATGAGTTTTAATGCTTCGAGGCGAACTAAAGGAGATGCTTATTCGGAAGGCGGATCGACTCAACCTTCTCTCTTAATTCCCGCTTCATACATGATAAAATCCGAAAAGTCCAGGAAACGAAGGATCGAGAAAAAGCAAGACAAAAAAGCCGCCAAAACTTTAACGGCTATTTTGCTTGCCTTTATAATCACCTGGACCCCTTACAACATCTTAGTACTTATAGGAGCCTTTTGTTTGGATTGTGTCCCCGAAGCCTTATGGGCATTCAGTTATTACTTGTGTTACATCAACAGTACTGTCAATCCAGTATGTTATGCCATGTGCAACGCCAACTTCAGAAGAAATTTTAAAAAAATTTTGTGCTGTCAATTCTCTACAAAAAAAAAGCATCGTCATCACCCGAACAATTTTTTTATAACTAAAAAATTGAATATGGCTAGATAACATAAATAGATAATACAACAAAATAAATAAAGGCGGAAGAGGAATTTTTGTAAACATTGCCAAACACAAATAAGAAAATAAATTTACTCACTATTTTTTTAAAAATATATATTCAAAAGATTAGTTAATTTTTTTAATAAAGAATTATTGTATGCATTATCCTTTGCAAAAATATGATTATTAAAATTGAATGTTTAAAATTTATAAAATATCATATTTTAAATTTATAATATATATTATTTTCCAATCGAGTTATGTATGTAATTCAACAAATGTGAATATTTTAATGACTGAATTTTTTTTTGATAAAAATAAAGATATTTAAAGCATTTACGAATTCATTATGTATAAATAAAATAAATCGCTATCTTTAGATTGAACCGATGAGAATTTCAGACGTCATTTTATCTTTACTGAGCATTTAACAAAAATATTTTAAGATTAAGTCAACATCAAGTGAACTATTGTTTAAAATATAATTATTTTAATATGGATAAACCAAATTTTATTTATTTATTGCTTGAATAGAGAGTTTAATTAAATTTTATATAAAAATATGTTAATAATAACACTTTTTATATTTAAAAGGGAGGTGGGGCTTAGTTAAAGCATTTCCTTACATACAATATTAGCTTGATGCAAACGGCTTTTAGTGCTGTAAACGTTATTTCAAAAAAGAAACGCACCCGTTACGTTTGAAAATGGAAAACGTTAGCGTTACCACTTCAAAAACAGAAACGCGATACTAAATATTATATATAGTTTTTTTTTATTTGTTTTTTTCTCCCCATAGATAATAAAATTAAAATTATATAAAAATAATATATAATATATAATATAAGCTCTTTTTGGAACAATTTTTTATTTATTTTTAGCAATCGATTTTCAAAATTTTGATCAGATGAACAAGAGCGCTTAGGGATCAACACAGCTTTCGCTATGCTAAACACATGTTTAACTGGCGCAGAGAATGTGTGAGTTGTATTTTATTTAAAAAATAAAAATTTTAATTGGGGGAATTTTAAAAATATTTATCTTTATTTTTTAAAAAAAACTTATTAGATCATTTTCACAAGAATTTTTATTCAGGTCCCATCAATTCTTTTTTATCTTTATCAGAATATAATCTGAATTATGATTTTTACCTTCGTGTTTTTTTTAGATTTGAGCTGCCAGAAATAAAGGTTGAAATATTTATATTAGGGTACAATCTTCTTCGCTCTTAATAATTTCATTATTTGTGTAAAAATGTTTAATACTGGGGCCAGGTCGTAGTTAAATCATCTTCATCTGAAGAAATAAGTACCATTGACATACTCTTTATATAACAAATTATAATATTAGAGAATATAAATTACATACCTTGATTGATTCAATGATAATTATATTGACAATCTTCACTGTATAATATTTAACAACAAAAATGTAAAAATCAAATTAAAATGAAGAATTTTGGTGGTTGATCTGATTAAAAACTATAAAATTTTTAAAAATAAAATAAAATTATTCATACTTTTCTTTTATAACGAGTAACATTTTGCATTGCCGCTACTCAAAAATGAAGCGTTAATCGTTACTAGGGCTGTGCCGATATTAAATATCGGATCGGTATTTAGCGTTTTTCAAAAATATCGGATTGGGCCTATACCTGTAATAAACGGGGAGACCGGGGATATAATTAACCCTGGGTTATAGCGAGACGCCGCTTTATTTTCTCTAGTATAACTCTAAGGGATAATTTTTTTAACAAAACTAAATAATTATATAATGCATATGCGTCTATAATTTTTATTTCTATCGGACAGCTTGAAGAATTTTTATAATGCATTATATGATTCGTACCAAAAGTACTTTTATAAACCTTTATTATTTTTCAAAAATAAAGAATAATACATATTTTTACACCCAAAAGTCATCTTATATAAAAGAAAAAAATCCTATTTTATAGAATATCAGTTTACCCGAACAAAATTGATATCATAAATACTTCAAAATATTATTTTAATCAAAGTGGTGGCATTGGGGCTATTTTTATGAGGGTAGAACAAGCCTTTTTCCCCTTTTTTAAAAAATTTGGAAAAAAGGCCATGGAGAGAGCAAATAAAAGAAAAAAATCAAAAATTCTTATTAATAAGAAAAACAATTGTTTAGTGGCAAAAAAATTTATTACAAGCATCATAGCATCAAACTGGTTTCAATGTCCTAAATGTAGTAATTGGTCATACGGAAGATGTTGCAATTTTAATCCTTTTTTTATTTGCAAAAGATTGTTAATAATGTTCCCATTTTTTGTTTATAAATGATTTTATATATTACTTTTATGCTTTAAATCATTAAATATATTCTAATAAAAAAGTATATAACTTTTATGTAGAAAATTAAGCAGAGCTTATAATAGCACCGAGCAAAAGCTCGTTCGTCCCCGGGTAGGGTTCACTCGTTCCCAAAAAAAATTCCAGAAAAAAATAAAATTTAGAAAAATTATTAGATATGTGTTTTGAAATTTAAACCTACCATATAACTAATAGAGCTGAACAAAATGAGATACTTTTTGTTAAAAATAATAAAGTACTTTTAAATTTATTAAGGTTTGCCTTTTAGGCTTCGCCATAACCCCCCCCCCTGTCTCCCCTATATTTATTTTTCATGGTTATAATATTTTCTAAATAATTTCTTTTTTAATCAATGCAAATGCACAACACCCCCTAAATTTTATTTATTTTTTAAAAGTTTTTTTTTATAAAAATAGAACGGAACACCGAAAGTTTTATTAATTTTAAATCTTTTTTAATAATAACGCCAATTTTATTATTTACACTTTAAATAAAAGAATTTTTTAAAATATGGTATCTGAATTATGGAAATATTTTACAAAAGACAAAGATAATTTTGCAAAATGTGTTATCTGCGGAATTCTAATTTCACGGGGAGGAATAATGAAAAATTCATTTAATACTACCAATATCCATAAACATTTAAGCGATTCCATCAAAAGCCATTAGAAAAGCTAATACAAAAAGAACGAGAAATATTAGAAGAAACAAATCAAATTTTTTCAAAAAAGAGCCCTGAAAGTCAGCCATTCTTAATAAAACTAATATTTGAAAAAATTCTGATCCTAAATCCATAATTATTTCTAAATTTATAGGGGAAATGATGTGACCACCAGCCGATTTCTATCTTGGAGAATAAAGACTTTTACATCATTTATGTCTAAATTATAAAATTCCCAAAGAAAGTCGCAAGGAGTTATTCCGGATATATTTGATAAACTCTCCGAAAAAAATCGTAAAGAAATTTTGGTTGAAGATTCCTATTTTTCCTTTACCATAGATATATGGACTAGAAATTCAGGTGGCGATTCTTATATCTCATTAACATGCCACAATATAAACCAAAACTTTAAACAAATTAATAGAGTTAATGTTAAAACATTTAATGAGTCGTATACAACAATAAATATTGCTCAAATTTTAGATGAAATAATTAATTATTGGGGTATAAAAAATACACTTAGTATCATATCGAAGATATTTATTAGTAAAACATTTTTTCCATATATTTGTAACAACTTTCTTCAACAATCATTAGAGATAATGCACCCAATATAGCTTTAGAAAACGAGGAATTTCAAAGCGTTTCCTGTTTTGCACATAGTTTGCAATTGGTTGCACAGGCAGCAATTTTATCAGAGATCTATTGACATGCTTCCCCGGGTTAGAAAAATAGTAGGCCACTTTAAACATTCATCTATTTCACAAAATAGTCTAAAAGAAATCCAAATTCGATTAAGTCTAATTAGGCACAAATCAATCCAGGACGTGTCGACTCGTTGGTATTCTACCTATTACATGCTCGAACGATTGATAGAACAAAAAAGGGCGGTACAGCTGTTCATTATCGATAATCCTAATTTGGGAAATTTCTCATTATATGAGTGGGAATTAGCAGAAAAGGCAATTGATGTTCTGGAACCAATTCAGAAGGTAACAAAAGAAATAAGTACGGAATCACGTTCAATTAACAATGTTATACCATTTGTTGAAATTCTGAAAAGTGAATTAACGATTAATGGGGACACAGATGAGGTGTCCAGACCATGAAGTTTTTTGATATTTATGATGATGACAATTATCTTATCGCAAAATTACTTAATCCTCGTTATAAGGATTTCTTTTTACCAAAAGACATTTCATATATTGAAAAGCTCAGGACAAGCATGTGAGCTTTTTATTAAAGGTGATAATAATGTTCAACTTCCAACTCCCAATGAAGATACGCCAGGTATTTTTAAATTAGATTTTATTGTTAACTTAGGTAATGACAATGAGAAAAATGTTCCACATAACATTAAAAAATGCAATTTAATTTAAGAGATGCTTATAAAATGAAAATCAGAGAGAAACTAGTAACAAATAAAATAATTGAAATCGATAATAATGTAAATGACCTGCCATACTTGATAGAAATCAAGTAATAAAAGAATCTTTTTATTTAGAAAGTATAATAACATATTTTTCATATTTCATCAAGTATTGCTTGATTGGGTTATGATTGACCCATTTGTTTGGGTGATATCAAGATCAACAATGTATGAAACCCAATATTTTATAAATGCTAATTTTATATTTGTGTTCTTTTTATTTAGATAACTCGAATAACGTTGATATTAATATTATATCCCCTGTGGATCCACTTGAATATTGGAGAATTAATGTTGAAAAGTATTAACTATGTCAAAACTTGCATGTAAATTTTTGCCTCCTGTAATAAGTGTTCCATCTGAGTCTGCCATCAGTACAGCGGGGGATATAGATAGTCCACATAGTAGAAGCTTATTGCCAAAAAATCTAGAGGCTCTCATATTTATTTTAAAAAAATCTAATATATTATAATTTTATATATTAAATATTACAATTTTATAATTCATATCAACATCAAATGGATATATTATAATATAACTAGCTGATAGCCCGTTAAGAATGACGGGGAATCAAAATTTTCTTCTTTATTCATTGATGAATGAATAATAAATTTTACCTTTATTTGATGATGGATGAATCAGTAATTTCCCCATCTTATGAGGTGTGATTTAGAAATAAATATTTTTTTACACCAAGAATATATTTTTTTAAATTATATTACAAACACAAATGAATAAAAATTTAGTTTAAAAGATTTCTTATTGTGCACATAAATTAAAAGACTAATCATGTACTTCATAAAAATATTTTATAAAAAATAATGGAAAATTTTAGAATTACTCCTTATCTAAATAAATATAAATTTCTGACATCTCATAAGATAGGAAAATTTCTGATTCATTCATCTAATAAAGGTAAAATTTATTATTCATCCATCATTGAATAAAGAAGAAAATCTGTCGCCGTCATTCTTGACAGGCTATCAGATAGTAACTTATATTTTTGATAACGGGTTCTTTAAAAATCTCTAAAATATATGTAAAAGGAAAGGTCACAACAGGCATTATTATTTTTTGTTATTTATGCTAAAATAAAAATGGATTAATATTTTTTTCATATATATATATACACTTCACAATACAACAATTTCTTAAATACAGCAATTATCAGAAATTTTTTGCAAATGATTTAATTAAGGCATCTCTGTGGTTTGATTATTCCTTTAAGTTCAAATAAAGTCAGATGGAAAATGAAATAATTCCATTATTGAAATTAGAGACCTTCACGGACCTTGGTTTATTTATCAGCCTCTAGCCCAGGTCAGCAGTAAAAATAATTTGCAGGCCCAATCCATATTTAATTAAATATTCAAACCCAAAACCATCATAAGTTTCAAAAATATTTCCTAACCCATATCCAAAAATTTAATTTATTGTTTTAAATAAATAAATAAATAATATTTAAGTGTATTTAGGCAATCACTTTATTTGCAATACTGACATTTATTATTATTAGAAGAGAAAAAATGCAATATATTTTTAAATTAGTAACAGTTTAATAGACTAAATTTAAATCAAAATTTTTTAGGCTTTTTATCAAAAACCCTGTCCTGGCCCAGGTACGTTAGTAAATATATCATACCTGGCATCCCATGGGTTGCAAACCTCCCAATGAATATCTCTGATTGAAATGTTAAAATATTTTGTCACCTGAGTTAGAGATTAATCTATCCCCATTTTTGTAAAAAATAATTTTTTGATTGATTGATTATTTAAGAATATATTAATCTATTTTTTGTAGCAGTTAGAAAAAAGAAGAAATAAATTCAATATAATATACTAAATGTCAGTCATTTTTATGACATGAACAATTAATTTTTCTTGGGGGAAGAAGAGAGAAGGGGAGATCACGGGATGCCAGCTGGGAAAGAACAAAGAATGGATGAGGTGAAGATTTCAGTTATTAGTAATGTGTTTACATATTAATATTAATGTTTATATTATCGTTTATTAGATTTTTTTATGAATAAATTGGACGTTCACCATTGGAAGTTTATAGTTTGGACTTTTAAATTGTTGCCAGCTGACCAGGATCGAAGGTACATTGGGGTAAACACAAAACAATGATTAACCACTATACAGGGGTAAGGAAAAAGTGAGATTAAGGGATTTTTTTTAAATATTGAGCAAAGAAGGAAAAGGATAGAAAGTATGTAATGAGTATTAGGGCTGAAGATGAAAATAAAATAAGTAATTTATTATATATATATGAGGTATAATATATATTATATGTCTAGATGTTTATTTTACATCCAATGTTTGACAATAAGTATTGTCTTATTATTTGGGAGGCATCAAGACTCATTGAATGGTGTTATAGGTATTCCGTCATAGGAAAATCAGACCTCAAGATATGCAGGACAGAAAAGATTGCTGAATATTTAAATGTTGGGGGGTTAATGAGCAGGGATATATATGTTGATATATTGTTATGGAAAGGTTGATATATTATTAAGGGATCTATTGGGAGTGTGTTAATTTTATTTATTTTGAAGTAATTAACCATTTTTATGAAATATGGTGTAATGTTAATTACACATATGATATATTTAATTATTAATGATAAACATATATAGGATACATTTAGATTTAAAAGGATATCATTGTGAAAATATGAGGTAATGTATCGGCAGTGTTATATAATAACATTATGAAATACATTAAAATTAAAGGAATTGAATTATGATGAAGTCAGAATAATATCTATAATAATGTTATATGTGGATAATTATTTTTGATGTAATATATGAATTTGATATAAATATAAATTTGGCATGGATTTATATGATATATGGGTTAAATATGAGTTTGATATATATATATATAAATTTGGTATGAATTTATGATATATTGGTATAAGTTTGATATTGTTGATATATATATAAATGTGGCATGGATTTATATGATATATTGGTAGAAATTATGGTACTTAATATTTTTTTTTAAATTATGAAATCTTTATATTTTATATATTTTGTTTTAAAATTATAAAAATTTATTTGCATGTATTATACTAAAAGGAAAATATTTTTATAGATAAGGTCAGCCGTGTGTTGATGGGTAGGCCTTAAGATGAAAATATTGTTTAGTTAAAATATTTGAGAGTTTTTTTTTAAAAAAATTTTTTTTTGTAAATTTATTTTGTGTACATTTTTGTTTATCTTTGCAATAATTTTATAGCACATCACATTTTATTATTTATATTATGAACATGTTTTTTTTTTAAAAAAAAGGCTCAGATTATTTTATATTGTGAATGTATATTATTCTTTACATATATACCATATAGCCCATTATATTCTCAATTTTTGTTACTTTACATTCTACATTTCTGTTGTGAATTTGTGCTAATTGTGATGGCAGTTAGGTAGAAATGGTATATTTTCCTTAGGATACTGAGTAATTCCTAGATGGAAAATATTGTATTTTCTACGTATTATATATTTTTCCTCCCTATAAAATATTAAATTTATTTTTATACATGTTCCTTGTAATTTTATTTAAAATCTTTATTCGGCAAATTTTCGCCATTATTTTCAATACCTAAAAATGAATTTTTCTATCTATTTTAGGAGACATTTATAAAAAATGGAGCTTTGTTTTTTTTCACATGACCCAAGGTAAATTACATGTTGTTGAAATTGCATTTCACACATAAACCATTTGTTTACATTACAGTATTATATGTAAAATCATTATTTCCTAATTCTCATTAATCAGACCCCGAATAATGTATATTATAACTTATATTTCCCAAATGTCTTAAAATGAATGAATTATTATGTTTTGCTGATATTACATTGTCATTATTAATGTTCCATAGATTGTAAATACGGACACCACGATGTAAATGTCATTATTGATAATATGTTTTCCAGCGATTATATATTGAAATGTATCGGAGATATTATACTATAAATCATTATAAAGGGAGACGTTCGATAAATTCCCTGAACGTTTTCAAGGCGTACCGAAAGTTGATACAATTCAAATGGGCGATTCGATACAATGCCACCAGAGAGATGGGTTGGCGTGTTGTAGCAATTAGAAAAAAGAAGAAAATGTCAGTCATTTTTATGACATGAACAATTAATTTTTCTTGGGGGAAGAAGAGAGAAGGGGAGATCACGGGATGTAAGCTGGGAAAGAACAAGGAATGGATGAGATTGTGAAGATTTCAGTTATTGGTTGTGTTTACATATTAATATTAATGTTTATATTATCGTTTATGATACTAATTAGATTTTTTTATGAATAAATTGGAGGTTCACCATTGGAAGTTTATAGTTTGGACTTTTAAACTATTTATATAAATAAATCTTAGAATTTTAACTTATAAGTAAATTATAGCTAGTATTAGATTATTCTATCTCCCTATTATTGATAAAAATATATTATTCTGATTCTTTAAAACGTTTTCAAGTATTATGGAATTAAGAGTTTTTTAACTGATTGTATGGTTTTATATAAAGATCCTGATATTACTGGTTCAAAAAATTAAAAAGAATATTTTTTATTATTATTTAAAGAAAAATAATATTACCATAATTTTTATTCATTCCATTAAAATATTTTTAAAATAAATAGTAATTATTATTTTATAAAATTTTTGGATTTAAACAGAAGTTGTTTGGAGAATAGAATAATATTTTTTAAAATAATAAAAATAAAATTTGGTATTTATTCTATTTCTAGTTTTAGAATAATAATAAAAATGATTTTTTATGAAATATATCATGGTATTTTATATAATTAAGTGATTAGAAACAATTAAATCTAAACATGAATTTCATATAAAACCTTCTCTTATCTCAAAAAATCATTTAAATGCTTTTAAGACCTTCATAAATACTCTATTAAACAAAGACCTCCTAATATATATTTTAATCAAATATGGGGTCAACCTGATTGTGTCACAAAAACTATAACGTATTGCAATTGGATATTTAGAAGATTATTAGCAAAAATAAATGCTATGGGTCAAAATCCAGAGTCGTAATTTATTAAGTATACATAGCAATTAGGATTGAGTGTTAAGGGAGAAGTCAAAATAGAATGTCATTCGTATTATATTCAGAATCCTATTCCTAACTTGGATATTATCAAAGTCTACTTTAAAAATGTTTTGATAACAAATTTCGAGAACATTTTATTAATTGTTTTACTCCTGAATTCCTAGAGACATACATGGTAAAATGTGATAGAACTGGTAGCTTATCTTCCTTCACTGGGGAAACACACAATTAAGTGGCTTCCACCACCCAAAGGGGGGCATATTCAGTGCAGTGAATTTGCATTCACTTTGGCAGTAAAATTTACCCTACTGTCAGGGCCCATTTAATTATAGAAGGATGGTACCTGATCCACTAATTAGATTATTGGTAAGAATAGAGAAATAATAAAATATATAATAAATAGTATGCTTATTTTTTTTAGAGTTTTTGTTTCAATAGATTAGTGAATTTTTGAATATCATTACATTTAATCATTAATAGTTTATCATATTAAATCTTATAAGTTGAGTCTTTAAATCTTCCATCAAGTAAGTTTATTCTGAAATCTGGGTATATATTTGCGTACCATAATAATATTTTCATAGAGTTTTCCATGATTTATAAATAGAACTGGTAGCTAAATTGAATGAATGTTGAGCTTGGTAAGGTGATTACTATTGGACCGATCAGGCTATAATAATTTTTATTGGACAAATATGATTTAAATAAACCTATTGGCTAAATTTGATTAACGTTTTTTAGGATTATTATAATAGATTTATTTTTAAATTAGTCTTAATTGTAGAAATAAAAAAAATTAAATTAATTGCATTTTGCTTAAAAAATATTGATTTCTTAATTACATTTGGTTCAAAAGGGGGTGGTGAGAAATCAGTATAAATATCGGATCGTTTTGAACCAATATCGGATCGGTGAAAAATATGTGGATCGGCACAGCCCTACTCGTTACCTTTTGAAACAAGTAACGAATGGCATCGCTTTTCCTCAAAAAATGGAACGATGTTATTTTAGCATTTAAATACAAGTTAAAAATCTAATCGTCACTTCAGTGTTGCGCAGTGAACCATTTAACATTTCTTTTTTAAATTGAAAGAAAAATTTGACTAGATCTGTCTTTCTTATATTTCCTAAATATTACTTATAGCTTTATACTTATGCCTATAAAAATATTGGTTTTTAATAACATGCATAATATCGCATTTATAAAATAAAATAAAATGAAGTCCTACAAAATTTAAAGTAAAAATTTCGTCTTAAAATAATAAAGATTTGTATAATAACTTACTTACAAAAACTAACCAAATAAATGAGGGGTTTAAAATCTTACTCAGTATAAGTCGATCAATATCTAAAGCAACGGGTTGTCATTTTGTTGATTTTGTGGGAGTTTTTTAATTGAAAACTAAATATGGTGTATAATTAATTAATTTGAAAAAAAAGTAAATAAAAATCTTGATTATTATTTCTCATTTTGGATCAAAGTTTAAACATAAGATAATTATTTATTTGTAAAGAAGACTTTTGGTATTAACATTTTACAATATTTAATAATAATAAAAATAAAATTACATAAATTACCTCATTTATAAAAGGAGTTATTATATTTAAAAAAATATTTGATAATTTGTTCTAAGCCTATCAAATCGTCATTTTGTTCTAAGTTTGAGATGTTAGAATTCCCGCAGTAGGTGGTGGAGGAGGTGGGTTCATAAAGGGCACTATATTAAATAAATAGTAGGTAAAGTAATATATAAAATTTTGAAAAATAACCCTTCCATGCAAATTATGCTGGTTTAAATTTCCCTCTATGGGCGCTAACCAATGTACGTTAATATTTGTCTATCTAAGATATTTAGGGTTAGATAACTACTATACGAAAATTTAACAACGTTGGCTAAAAAAAATGTTAAATTAGTATAATCCTTAGTTGCTCAATTATTTTAGGGTGTGTTTTATGAGAGATAATGGGTCTTCATAGAAATGTGATCCAGTAAATTTGTATCCCTAGACAATTTTATTTATTAAGCTGAACCCTGCTCTGCTTCAGTAATGCTGAGAATTCTATTAATGTTTTTTTTGTAGTAAACTTTCATCATAATATAGTTATCGATATAATTCTAAATACATCATTTCAAATAATAACAGTTTTGATAACATTTTTAATTTTTATTCCCTTCTCTCCAGGACGAATTTTCTTCGATTGGTTAATATGTTGGCTCAAATTTAAGATAAAGAAATTGTAATATTTCGATTTATTTTACCTAAGTGTTTGTCATTTTTAAAAAAACATATACTTTTGAAAAATTATTCTAAAAATTCAATTGGTTTAAGTATTATATCCTATTTTCCATGTTCATCTAAAATTCAGTGTGTAAAAGTCTTCCATTTTTAAGTACTAATATTATATCATTATGCACCAAAATTACTTATATTCATGGTATAGCACGACAATGATTATAAGGTTTTTTGGACAGCTCTGTAAAATGTTTGGCCTGCCCATCAATAATTTTAAAGTTACTGGTTAAACCGATATTTTTAGCCTGGCTTAACCCATATGATTTTTTGGTGTAGGAAAAATCATAAATTTGCTATTCAAACCCGAAAAATATTTTGCACAAATTGCCTAGCAAAAATATTTTCCTAAGTTGTCTTATCTAAACCGTAATTTCAGGTGGTGAAGATCTCTGACTTCAATATTACGATATTAACGGGCACCACAGATACTTAAAAGAAAATTATAAAAGTGATTTACACCCTATGCCTGACGATTCTAGCCTGGATTCAAATCCGTTTGAATAAAATATTTTTCATTTTCAGATAAATATGTTGTCTCAAATGATATACTCAACAATATTTTATTCAAATCTTTTTACCGCAAGGAGATTTTTATGTGTATAATTCAAACTTAATCATGCAATTTGTAGATTTTCAAAAATCTAATTATAAAAAAAAATAAGTTTTTAACAAAGTCGTAAATTCGTGAAATTACTAATAACCAAAACTTTAATTTTATAATTCATTATTCTTTTTAAAAAGGTAAAAAGCGAAACTGATTTTAATTAAAATTTGTTTTTAGTGTTCTTTCCTAATTTTACAATTTATAAAAGGCACCAATCATCAGAAATATGTATGAAATAGTATTTACTATTATATATTATGAGAAAGTACAAAAATTAATAAGATAAATTAAAACTACAACTGAAAAAAAAGTAATCTAATATGATTTAATATGGGCCAGCCAGGATTAGTAAAAATTAAAAATATCGGTCGATATCGATACCAACAGAATTGAATTTTCTTAACTTTCTAGCTAAATGCATTTTTTTAAATATTATAAAATGTAACCATTGGAAGCTTGATTTGTAGTCTCAATACCAGGATTAATATTGGCGATATTTTGAGATGATGGAGGAGGAGGTGGTACCATCATACTGGCGAAAACAGTTGGATCTTTATTACCATCATTTGGTTGAGTAGCAGATGTAGTATTAAGACTGGAGGGTGGGGGTGGCGGAGGTGGCATTAAATTTAGCGCTGTAAAGGAAGTGGGGATAATAATTATTTATATGTAAATCTAAGGAATGATGCTGTTATTTAATTAAACAAAGGTTTAATATATATTTTAACAAAAATTGCTTACATATACATTTTTTTTCAAAATTATAAATAAAAAAATAATAAACCACTTGGAGGGATACATTGTTGTTGTTGTTGTTGATACATGAGGTTCATATCAAATGAAGGATGGCCACCAAACATAGGTGGAGGTGGAGGCATGGGGTTCATCATGTAACCTTTGAAATAATTTTTTATAATAGAACTTTACCATTATATAGATATTTAAATGTAAATGAAATATTCATAAATGCGAAAAATTTGCATTTTGAAAATATCACTTGAAAAGTTAAAACATTATTGTATGGGGACCGATTAAGTTAGAATTATTGGATATATGTGAATGTTTTAAAGTCTCTTTTGTATTCATATACTGGTAAATAATATTGATTAATTGTGAATCGATAAATTTATTTATCCAAACTTCCTAATAGTTTAATTATCATTTAAGCAATGGATTATTTCAAAAAAGATAAAGCAAATTAATCAATTTTATGTTAAAATCTTACTTGCTAAATATAATTTAAAAAATGCTTTTACACTTAGTAGGCAATAATAATAATGAATTTTATTAGTTTCAAATTAAAGATAGTGTAATTTTAGTATTAAATTATTAGTCATTTACTCAAAAAACTATTATAAAATGTTTTTTCAAAGCAAATATTTTGATGTCATTAGCCATTAAAGAGATAGTGGATTTTTTATGATAAAGTAATGTTTATCAAAGAATTACTAAATTGATAGAAAAAGAAAAATGGCATTTTTATGAGATGAAAACCATTTTTATTCATACTGTTTAATAGTTGAAAGACCTATTAAATGAATTATATCATAAGTCCAATTATTTATAAATTATAAAAGAAATAAATGATAATTCTGTATTTAAATAATAAAAGTTTTTCTTGAAAGGTAAAAATTATGCATATGATATATACTATCCAACTTCTTTGATATTCAAGCACTCTTATTTTTAGTTTATTAAAAAAATAATCATGAACACTCAAACAATATTTCAAAAACTTTATTATTAAATACCCATATATAATATGAAAAGAATTTAATAAATAAATACCATAATGTCACTAATCAAATTTATTGGCCTATTGTGCTAAAATATCATCATTCTGTTACAGTTATTTCTGCCTTTCTAACTGTGGTTATTCTTTGTAGCATTTAATAAGATTCTGTTAGGATAACGATTTCCATATAAACTCAATCTATCCTTCAAATAATGTTTTATTTTAGGTCGCTGATTTCTTAGCTTTCTTTGAGTAAACTTCAAATGTTTTCAATAGGATTGAGATTTGATCATGGTAACCTATTGATATTATGCTCCTTTTTAGTTTTTTGCAGATTATGCAGTATGATGATCCATCTTACTGGAGGATGTGATTTATGCCCTAATAAATGAATTAGCTATAAGTACTTATTGATGATATCATGATGTTTAACAGTAATTTTTATATTATTACTTTATAGAATACATCCTAAGCCTTTTACATCTATGTAATCATCATAATATTATATCGAAACTTATTGATTCTTTGTAAGAAATCAGGATGGAAGGTTTCTGCTTATGTACTTATAACCTTCTTTCATTTTTTTTTCTCTTTAGCTTTCACCTTTTCTGGTGGTAAGCTCATTCAACATCTCTCTCCACTTTATGTTATTAATACAATCTCTTTTATCTAATTTATACTTCTTTATATTGGCTCTAACTTTATGGCCCCATTGAAGTTTTGGCCTTCCTCTTTTACGTTTGCCCATCAATTCCAAACTCTTAACTTTATTTCCTATGTAGTTCATAGGCCTTCTCATTGTGTGCCCATACCACCTAAGTCTATTTACCATTAACTTCGTCTTAATGGGCACTATCTATAAACTACTTAGTATTCTTGTACTGCGCACTTTATCCTTTCTTGTTACCCCAGCAATCATCCTCAGCATTCTCATCTCCATGGTTTGTAGACTTCTCTCGTCTGATTCTTTGGTTGGCCATGTTTCCGAACTATATAGAATAGTAGTTGGTTGTATTATGGAACTGTAAATTTTTCCCTTTAATTTGTGTGGGTTTCTTTTATCAAATAGCACTCCAGATAAAGATCTCCACTTTAGCCACCCTTGATTAATCTTACTCTTTATCTCTTTTTCTATTGTGCCGTTTGTTTGTATAGTGGAGCCCAAATAATTGCAGCTTTCAATTGCCGATATCTGCCATTCATTTATATCAATACTCTCTGTTTCATCGCCTCCTATCACCATATACTCCGTCTTTTCTCTATTTACTTTTAATCCGTGCGTTTCTAGGATATTTATCCAACTCACTAGTCTTTCTTTCATTTCATCCTTAGATTCGGCAAGTACCACAATATCATCTGCAAATATCATATTCCACGGGACTGTTTGAGGTATAGACTGTGCTAATACATCTATTACTGTAATGAAGAGAAGTGGGCTGAGAGCCGACCCTTGATGAACTCCTTCGGCTATTGTGAAGCCTGCTGAAGTACCTGTTGTGCTACGGACCATTGTTGTATCCAGATAAGTTTTCTTGGGATTCTATCAAAGGCATTTTCTAGATCGAGAAAGACCATGTGTAGCTTTTTGTTCTTTTCCCTGTATTTTTCACTCATTTGCCTAATTGCGTGGATAGCATCGGTTGTAGGCATAAAGCCAAACTGAGTCTCTCCTATTTCAATTATATCTCTTAATCTTTTTTCTATTATTTTTTCGTATAGTTTTAGACAGTGTGACATTAGTTTTATGCCCCTGTAATTTTGACAATTATGTGGATCCCCTTTATTTTTGAAGATAGGAACTAGATAGCTCTGCCTCCATTTTTGGGGAACCTCTTCATTTCCAAGTATCTTATTGTATAGATTTGTGAGGAGATGTATTCCATCATCTCCTAGTGCTTTAAGGCTTTCTATTGGAATATCGTCTGGACCCCTGTTTTTCATATGCTTGAAGCATGTGATTATTTCTTGTTGTGTTATAGGTTGTAAAAGGTTTTGACAAGGGGAGTGCTCGTCTAGATGCAGTATGTGCAGATTAAAGTTGAGAAGCTCCTGAAAATATTCTCTCCATCTACTCATTATTTCTTTTTCCTTTATTATCAATTTCCCATCTTTATTTTTGATTACTTTTGGAGCTCCGTTTATATCCCTAGAGTTCTTTTCTCGCTGTTTGGCTAATCTGTATATTTTATTTTGCCCTTCTTTGGTATGTAGATCTTCGTACATGTCATCGTATGCGATAGATTTGGCTCTAGCCACCGCCTTTGTAGCTAATCTCTTGGATTTTTTGTATCTTGTCTTGTCATTTGCGTTTTTGGATTTGTACCATATTTTATAAAGGGCTTTTTTCTCCTGTATAGTGGTTTGTACCTCTTAATTCCACCACCATAGTTCTTTGTATGATTTGTTGCCTCCTCTTGTCAAGCCTAGTGTCGATTTGGCAGTGTCTATTAATCTGGATGAAAGGTCTGTCCACATTTTTTCACTGACTTGTGAGGAATCTATAGTTTCAATGTTTGCATTGATTGCAAAGGCATCTGTCATTGTTTTTAATTTGCCTTATTTGATGCATGGTTCCAGTTTTATCTTGTTTTGAGTGGATTTATTTGAGATGTGTAAATCCATGACTAGTAGTTTGTGTTGTGCGGCGATATCTTCTCCTGGGATGACTTTGCAGTCTATTACATCTTTTAATCTTCTGCGAGAGATTAGTATGTAATCTATCTGTGTTTTCCTTGTACCACTTTTGTATGTTATTAAATGACTATCCTTTTTCCTATAGTAGGTGTTGGTTAAGGCAAGGTCAAAGGCTTGCGCAAATTTCAGTATATGCTCTCCTTCATCATTTCTTTCTCCATATCCAAAACCACTATGATGCCTTTTGTAGCTATCTCTTGCTTTCCCCACATGTGCATTTAAGTCACCACCAATTATGACTAGGTCATCCTTAGGGATTTCCATTACAGTTTCATTGAGAATAGCTCTAAAATCATCTTTCTCTTCTTCCTTGCAACCTGTTTGAGGAGCATATAATGAAAGGATGTGTAGTATTGATTGACCAATGCAGAGTTTTATCTTCATTAGTCTATCAGAGATCCTGTTAACTTCTACAACTGAGGAGGTTAGATCTTGACTGAGGATGATGCCGACACTGTTCCTATTGCTAACAAGTCCATTATAGTAGAATTTATACCCATCTCCAATCATCAAAGTCTTCTGTCCTTTCCATTTCGTCTCTTGTATGCACGCTATATCAACTTTTCTCTTGTTCAACATTGATGTCAATTCTCTCGTCTTACCTTTAAGTGTCCCAATATTCAAACTTGCTAATCTTGTTTTCTTTGCTTTGAACTTTACTTTACTTTTCACAGGATGGAGGTCTACACCCTGCACGTCGCTTGGAGGGAACGCCCTATCTTTCATATTCATATTTCCATTTGTTTTCTTCATTTTGTTTATTGGACAGGTATCCTTAGCACCCGGCTGTCCAGGCCTGTCGGTGACCGGGGTGTCATCTCTAAGCTCCGAAATTCATCATACCATATGTCTTTACACATCAGTCATCGAAGAAAAACTTGAAAGTTTTCATGGTTCTTACCAGGATTGAACCTGTGTCCTTGTTCATACTCATGTTTCCAAGCGTACATCTTACCCATTAGGCCACCCTGGCGATACTTATAACCTTCTTTCATATTGTTCCAAAATTTATATAATATTTTAATTCATTGCTGATTGTATTCCTTATTGTTTTTTGTTCACTTTGCATATCTTTTCTTATATGTAATAAATAATATTAAAAGTGGTCTCTTCTAGGGCTGAAATAATATGATGTAAACAAAATTTAAATAAATTTTATTTTAATTTATAGAATATCCTATTAAATTCAATTTTTGTAGATAGGTTGATATGGAAATGTGTCTCTTAATTGCAGAAATCCCATCAAATTATACTTTTAAAGAAGATACACATTTATTCTAAGAATAATTTTTAATAGAATCTTCTTCTTTTTTGAATTAGTGTTCTATAGATGTCCTCTATCTGAATAGGCTCAAAAATCCCAGTATTTTTATAATTCTAATGGTAGATTCATATGGCTAATTATTTTGGTATTCCATAATTTCCTCTATTATAAATTAATATTGATCACATAGATATGAATATGTGTTGTCTTACCTTTATCCATTGAAGAAAAGGTTATAAATTAGTTAAATTACATAATTATTTTAAAAAAGATGAATTAAATTTGCTAAATATTTTGGTAATATTGAATATAAAGGTAATAATTAGTGTTGTTAAATAGCTCAATTTGAGCCGATTTTTAACAATGGCTAATTCAATATTTTATCCAGAAAAATATTATTCAAGCCTAAAGATTTTGCTCATAGATGGCAAAGGATTGAATATCTATTGGCGAAATCATTTTTAAAGCACTGATATTTTGCTTATCATTTAAAAATTTGAAATATATTTCTAGATTAATTAATATCATATATAATTGTATTAATTAAGATTTCAATTTTTTTGGATATTTATTTATTTTTAAATTAAATTAATGTAAGCTAAAAACTAAGGGTAGTTGCATATCAATGAGGTGAGAAATCATGAATAAATTAAAATTATCACATATATTCAAAATACCAAATGCAAAAAAATAGAGTATTTTCCCTTTGCATTTTAATGGTTTCAACTGCATTAAATTGTATATTGGGTGAATGTATATGTTTCTATTATAATAAATCACGAATTTATTTCAATATTCATCTTATAAATATGCAATGAATTAAGTTTCTATTTCTTTATATACTGGCTGCTAACAACCAATCAAGTTATATAGATATATTTCTAAAAATTGATTATTTTTTTAAATATATTTGTATTTTAAAAATTCTGTTTGGATTGGCCTATTTATGCAAGTAATTACTTCTAATAATTTAGAATATATACATAACGTTTTAAGTATCAATAGTAAATATAAATAACCCATCATATTGGGGGGTAAATTTGGATGGTGCATCATATTCATAGGAGGCACACCAACTCCAGCAAGGCCCATGACAGTAGGAGGAGGTGGGGGTGGAGGAAGCATGAATGGTCTATCAGCAAAAAGTTGATGAGGTCTCTCAGCATGGGGTAGTGGATTTTGGGCAGCTAGTAATCTCTCTATTATTATTTAGTAAAATTATATTTATGTATGAACAGCACTAGAAAATGCAAATAATTGAGGATTAAAATTTAAACTTAATTTACAAAATAATGTTATCAAAAAATAAAATATCTTTGAATTAAAAAAATATTCATAAATATTAATTATCCTTAAAAAATCATGCATTATTTAACTCAAATTATATATTATATATAAATTGAATTAAATATAAATATCTAAATTATTAAATATAAAATAATTTTAGTCAAATATATAATTTCATACCTGCTGCAGTTCCATGACGTTCACCTTTGCTATCTTTTTTAAATGCATAAGATATGGTGATTGCTCTGTTGCATAGATATTGCCCATTCATTGCTTCTATAGCTGCATCTGATGCTTCAAAGTTTGCAAAATTTACAAAGGCAAAACCTTTAGAATTCCCTGTATCAGGATCTCTCATAATCTGATATATTTACAAAATAAATTTAAAGAAATAAAATATCATCAAAGGCATTAATGTTAATCATGATATTATGTAATTGGACATATTAAATGTTATTTTTGATATATATATATTATTTCAAATTACAATGACAGTTTACAAAAAAATCATTTACTTTAGGACTTTGAAGTATAATTCCAAATGCACTAAATGTATCATATAATAATTTTTCATCAACTTCAGGATCTAAATTTCCAATAAATATGTTGGCACCTACATCTAAACTTTTTTGATGAGCTGATGCCTAAAATATAAACTTAAATTAAAAATATACATATTAATAATTATAACTTTATTGACTTTAATAGGTTTTCCATATAATTTAATCATATTCATAATTTTTATTCCATAATCAGCATCCTCTTCACTCATAAATTCCACAAACCCATATCCCTGGTGAGATTGTGAAACGCGATCTTTAGGCATATGAACATTAGCTATTAAGTATGCCATAATCTCATATTATTTAGTAAATATATTACCAACTGGGCCAGCCTGTTGAAATAATTCCCAAAGTAATGACTCGTTAATTTTTTCATCCAATCCACCAACATATATAGTGGCATCTTTAAATTAAAATAATTTGACAAATTTGACAAATTTTTTTACCTTGATTTCTTTCCAACACAGGTCCTGCTGCCATTGTTGAATATATATTAATATATATTATTATAGATGGCGTTATTTGTAAAGATGTTCTTCTATATTTGGATAAATATTGGCCACGTTAACAAGAAGACTAGTACCAACTTCTAAGTAGCAATATATTTACTTGGAAAAATGCTCATTGAGTTTGGAAATTTTCCACATCTTTTTTGTAAAGTTGTTTTTCATATATTTTGTAGGTTTTTGTTTTAAAATATGTAGATTATCCTTATAAACATATTCCCGTAAAAAATTTCTTAGATAATGCCTGAAAAATTTTGCCGTTAAAAAATCTCACTAAATAATAATACTCCGAAGAAAATATCTTATAAATTAAATCTCGGAGAAAAATATTCCCCGAAAAACAGCTCAGCGTTTAAGAATATTTTATTTTTAGCGTTTCAGCTTCAATTCTGAGAGATCAATAGGAACTTTTTCAACATGACATACAAGCCAGAGGCATCGTTAGCGTTTTACAAAAGAAGGTTTTAAGAGATGCTAATTTGTTTTTTTAAAGTTATAATAGTTATTTTTAAACTTTACATATAATATATGGGGCTTCATTCCCAATATCTCCTTTAGCGGTATTTTGCAGATTTTTCCCTCTTTAGCCCGCTTTTTCAAGTGTAAAAATGTAGAATGACTGTTATGGTATGGTAAATTGACTACGAATCGCAATATCGAAAATTTATACATTCGCATCATACCAAACTAATAGTTCCCAAAATGCCGATTATTTTGCATTTAATATGCCAATTTGAAATTATCATCGATAAATTCTGTAATGATAAGAATTTGTTTTATAATTATTATATATAAAAATATTTATGATTATAAGAATTTGTGAAGTTAACTACCTAACCCAAATAGCATGTTTCATAATTTAATAATTTAATATTATACACAAACAAACACAGGATAGATTTCCAATTGTGGTAGTTTTGCGGGACTTCATAAAATATATTTTTTTTACATTGAAAAATTAAAATCGTTTGTTTTTTTATAAAATTAATATATTTTAATAAATCAAGATGTTATTTTAATAATAAAAATAGTATTTAAAAAATTTTGTCTAGTACTATAATCAACTATTTTATTTAAAAAATAGTTAATGACTTTGTATTATAAAAATTATTATAAAAAGAATAGGCGGATAACTAAGTCAATTCAAAATCCCGACAGAAGAAATTTTTTTTTAGCAATGTCTATATTTTACCACAATTTATATATTTCTCCCGCAATGTAACAAATTTCTCATGCAATTTGAAAACTTTGACCTGGCAACCCTGCATGTACCCCATGTTTTATCTTGAAAGGGGGGTACATGTCCAGTAATTGTTTATTTTTTTTATTATTATTAAAAATATATGTTTATTTGTGTTCGTATTATAGAAAAATAGAGATTTAATATTGTATAATATTGTTTTGTAAAAATTGCGGAAATTATATTATTATATGTTTTTAATATATACAAGAAAGATAAATAAAGTAGCGTTTAAAAATTAAGGAATTTGTGTATTAGTACAAAAAGTTTGAGTATAACTCTAAGAATCCAAGTATAATAATATATAAAATAAAAAAGTCAAATATATTATACAAATTTTTTTATTAAATACTATAATTATAATGTGATTTTTAATTTTCGTTGGAATGTTGCCAATTCATCAAGAATTTCGTTTGTCGTTGGAACCAAATCTATGTGGATATTTAACAGAGCTAAACCATTTAGCCGAGATTCGGATGTATTATTTCGTAAATATGTTTTCAACCTTCTCAAGTTGGAAAAAGTCCTTTCATTCGTACATGTTGTAATAGGTAAACATGCAAGAATATAAAACAACTTCAAAATATTAGGAAATTGAGTCAATGTTACTTTACACCGATTGAGTGCATCAATAGCATGCTCTGGTAAAATAACTAAACGTAGTAAATATTTATACCATAATTCGAATTCACTGATTAAATTTATTTCAGTATCAATATCATAGGAATAAATTTTTGCTAAATATTTAATTTTACCAATAGTGGCATTAGAAAACGAAGAAGGATCTTTGGGTAATATAACTTGAAGATTGCTAAAGACTTGTTTTTTATCTAAAAACCGTACTTTTATTTGCTATAAAAAGTATCTAAGAATGGGATGAAAATGATTTTATAATATTCTTCAGTTGAGCCAATTTTTATTTTACATCTCAATATATAATTTAGCCTTCGATTCAACGTCTAGATAAATATTATGAAAATATTCATATACATTCATTCTTATTGTATCTACCTGTTCATCAGGGACGAAGCGTCCATAGAAGCAAGGGAAGCATTACTTCCCTTGAAAATTTTTTTACAAAATTCTTAGATAAACTTAATATAATCTTTATACTATGCTAAAAAAATATAAAATTACTTCCTTAAAATAATTAATATATTTTTCATAACGTTAAAAAGATTTATAATATTTTACTACGATAAAAAATTTACGTTAAAAAATTTATTATTATTTTTACTACGTTCAAAAATTTACTATTATTTTTACTAAGTAAAAAAATTTACTATTATATTTACTATGATAAAAAATGATGGAAGCAAATTTAATATTGATTATTTTCCTATAATAAATACACTAATAAATCATGATTCATACGATATTTTTTTGGTGTAATTTTTTTATTACGTTAAAAAAAATATACAAGAGGGAAGCTAATCTAATATTGCTTATTTTTTCAATAAATAAATAGAAAATCATGTTATGATATTGTTTAATTTTACGATTAAAAAATAAGCATTGTGGAAGCAAATAAAAAATTGCTTATTCTTTTATAAAAGAAAAATAAATTTTTTTCTTACTTTTTAAAAAAAAATTTTTTTTCTTTAAATTAATGTTTAATAATTGTAATTGTATTATTGAAAATTTATTAATATTATCGTTTAGATCAAGAAATTTTGATACCAAAAAATTAATTATTGAAAAAGGAAGACCAAAGCCAATTTTAAGAAATTTAAAAAAAGAAATAAAATCTTGCATTCGTAATTTTTCTAATTCTCTATATTGTTAGTCATGCTTATTATTCCCAAAGGAAAAATATGTTTGGAATGATAGAGGATTTTCGGATATGAATATTTTTTCAAAGGCAGTTAAACGACATGAAGATTCAACAGCTCATTTGCAGTTGATGATTTAATTAAAAACATTTGGCGAAATTCGTATTGGTAATATGATAGATTTGATGCGCAAAATATCAATCGAACAGCATAATTCGAAAGTTAAATCAAATAGAGAAATATTAAAAATTTTAATCAATTCTATATGTTTTCTTGGAGTTCAGCAGCTCGCATTCCGTGGTGATGATGAATCACCTAATTCAGTAAATAGAGGAAATTATATTGAATTAATTTATTTGCTCGCGGAAGAAAATTTGCTATTAAAACATCATTTAGAAAATAGTACAACTTTTATTGGACTAACTAGTGATATTCAAAATGATTTAATTAATTCCATTTCATATGTCTTACACCAAAAAATATTAGATGAATTGGAAGAAACGGAATTTATAACAATAATATTAGATGAAACAATTGATATAAATAATAAATTCCAACTGGCTGTATTTCTTCGATATGTTTTAAATAACGGGACATTATATGAAAGATTTATTGAATTCTTTGATGTTACAATGCATCGTGATGCTAATTCTTTATCAAAATTTGTCATAAAATTTTTGAATGATAATAAAATTATGAAAAAATTGATAGGTCAAAGTTATGATGGCGCAGCTGTTATGTCAGATGATTCACATGGACTGCAAGAAAAATTAGAGACGTCAATCCTTCTGCACTTTATATTCATAGTTTTGCCCACAAGTTAAATCAAAATCTTGCAGCAAAATAGAATGTAAGGTTTTTTTTGCAACTTTATCTGGTTTAGCCAGTTTTTTTAGTACATCATCTAAGCGTACAGCAGAATTTGATAAATATGTTTAAAAAAGATTAACACGAGTAGCCCCAACAAGATGGGAATACAATGGTCGGCTGGTTCAAACAGTTTTCAATTATTTGAAGGATCTAGTCGTTTTTTTTGAAAGTATGATTGATGAAGAATCTGATATTGTTTAGGATAATGATGTTCTAATAACATCTCGTGGCTATTTAAATATATTAAATGATGAAAATTTTCTAATTTTGTTATATTTTTTTCAAAAAGTTTTTCCAGAATCTGATTTATTATTTGATATACTTCAAACTAAAATTAACGATGTATCATATTGTCTTAAAAGTATTAACGATTTCAGAAATTCAGTTAAATCTAACATAGAAAACTTTGATGTTTTTTGGAGACATTTAAATGTAAAGGAAAATATTGAAGACAATTTAGATAAAAAACGTAATAGATCCGGATTGCCTAATACAAGAGAATTTTATAAAAATTTGATAATTAAAATAATAGATACTATAATCAATGAAATTGATTTTCGGTTTGATACATTAAAAAATATCAAATTCGTCGAATTGTTAGATATTAGTAAATTTCAAATATTTAATCAAAATTTCCCAAAATATTTATTAGACAATTTAAGACACTTATTCTCAATTTTTCGACTTACACAAGCTGGAAACCGAATTAAAGGTAGTGTTTCGTGACGATGAATTTAGAAAGTGAAAAAATGTTTATGAAATACTTGAATTTTTAATTAATACCGATTTGATGAAAAGTTTTAAAGAGTTTTTTAAATTATGCAAATTCATATTAACTCTGGCTGCAACAACAGCAAGTGCAGAACGGGGGTTTTCATCTTTAAAAATAATCAAATCAAACAGAATGAGTCAAAATCGATTATCGAATCTAGCTTTGATTTCTATTGAAAAAAAATTATTGAAAAATTTAAAATCTAGTAATAACTTTTATAATTCAGTACTTGATCATTTTACTCAAAAACAAAGACGAATTCCGCTTATTTATAAATCTTAATTTTTTATGGTTTGACTAATAAATAAAATAAAAAAAATTTTTGATTGCTTCCCAAGTAGTAAACTTGACGCCTCGTCACTGCTGTTCA